GTAGAACTTGAATTTTGCAAACGACAAGTTCTAAACAGCTAGAAGTCATTCCCTTTTCCTCAACCATTCTAATGAGAGAAAACAGAACATTTTAATTGTTTTCAGATGACAAAAGTTCTACACACGCAATGCACTACTGCTGTGGAAGTTTCCCAACAGAAAGATAAGTGAAATATTCCTAGATTACGCCTAACCAAAGTGCTGAACGGGTTTAGCTTCAAACTATCTATTCCATTACTCTTGTTAAGACAGCATAGGCCTACACTAACCCATTTCACAATCGCTTTTCATGCAAATTTGCGTTCTCTGCATATAAATGCGGAAAAATAGACAATAGACTATTGAAATCGGGACCAACTGCGTATGAAACAAATATAAATTAGCATAACGAAGTCAGCTATACTATATCTCCTCAGGAGAGCAAGGAATGGCAGAATAATTGCTATGAACTTAGCTATGCATCAATAGGAAGTATTTAGGGGCTAACGAAGTGAGTTTACTCGCAGTACTAACGACAGGTCAGAGATTCACCTTACAGAAGGCGAGTAAGATAGTACGGGAATGCGAGAAGTGACGAAAGCACATTGTTAGAATGACAGCAACATTACCAAAGGCTTCTGGGTAAGTGAGGCCAAAATGACGCGTTGGACAAGATCAGAGCTGGTTTGAGAGCACTTGGATTGGAAGAATATAAGAAATTGGATCGAAGAGTCTGGAAATATCTGACTCATGTAGCAGATCCTGCATGAGCGGGAAAATGCAAAGGAATTTTTCTTCATCTTGGGTTGGTTGAGAAGGAAACATATCAAGATTAAAAAGGGGAACATTATGGGTTCCGCATCGGAACATAAATTTATGGACACAGGAAATTTAGTTTATAGTGAATATTGACCAAAGTGAGATAGTTTTGAAGTCGCCCAGCAGAGAAGGAGGTGAGCCAGAACAAAAGAAATACCCTCTTCTTCTTTTTTCATGCTGTTCTTCTCAAAAGAAAAAGACTGCAGCATAACAACAACCTTGTAACAGAATTTAAATAAAAGAAGCTTTCCAAGAATTCAAGCATCCCACTATCGTCGTATGCTTGGATGCACACACGGCAGGACATATGCAAAGTAAGAATCTAGTGAATAGTAATTTAAGAATTCCATGCAACCTGTTTAATTGAGAGTCAAAAGAAAAAAAGCAAGATTGAAGGTAGAAAAGATTCTTATCGATTAAACATTAGAGATTCTGCCATAGTTGAAGAAACCTTCTGCTTAACAAAATTCCACAAAGGCTTGAAGGGGAAGCAAGCAAAAAGAGTAGTGGTCCAGATGTTCTCTACCAAAATACAGGGTGATGCTAAGCGCATCGTCAATACAATCTAGAAATTAACATCTTTGAAAGGAATGTAGACCCTTGGATGCATAAAACAGCTGCGAAATTTTCCTTGGAATGTTCCCAACTACAGTACTCCTATGAAAAATCTGCTGTAATGATAACATTTTGGGAAAACCTTAGGCGAAGTAGGGAGGACGTAGAGAAAGAAAATCATTTTCGAAAATGAGCATCCGAGACATCGGTGTTTAGAAGCTGTAGACAAACGATGAAACGATAGAAAAACCCGGACATCGTTTCTCGAATGCCATTGCTGAAATAATGAAGAAATGCTTCAAAATTCAAAATTTCCTGACTCTGCGCACTGGAGGTGAGAGT